CACATTTCTTCGATAGTGACCAAAAATTCAATAAAAGGATACTAAATTTTTGTTTGATTAAGAATCGTAAAGGTGAAACTATTGGAAGAAAACTTGAGAAATGTCTCTTGGGGTGGGGGATCTTTAAGGTTTTTAGTATCATAGTTGATAATAGAAGTTCAAATAATGTGCTATTTCTTACTTGAAAGTTAGAATTAAGGATTGGAATGTTCATCCATTGAAAGGGGAATATTTGCATGTCAGATGTTGTGCTCATATTTTGAATCTTGTTGTTAACAATGGATTGAAGGACTTGCATGTTTCAATTAATAAGATTAGAAATGTTGTTAGATTTGTGCGTGTTTCACCTGTTGAATGGAGAGGTTTAAAAATTTCATAAAAGAATGTGGGAAACAAGAGAATTACACACTGCAATCAAATGTTCCTACCTGGTGGAACTCTACTTACTTTATGCTTGAAAGTGCTATAAAATTTCAAAAGACATTTAAAAGGTTGGGAGAGCGAGACACAAAATTTGCATCGATGTTAGGTGGTATTCTAAAATCTAAGGATTTGGGATCATGCAAGAGTATTTGTGAGATTTTTGAATTTTTTATATTATGTCACTAATAAAGTGTTAGGATTTTTATATGTGACATCTTCCTAGTATTTTCATGAATATTGCATGAATTTAATACTTTGAAAACTTTGACAAATAGTTTAGATCCATTGCTTGGGAGCATGACTGGAAAAATGAAATCAAATCATGATAAATATTGGAGGAACATTAAAACCATTAACATGGTGGCTTTTATTGTTGTGGTACTTGATCCTTGATACAAACTGTTAGAATAGTGGATTAAGCCTAACTCAACCCTACAAAACCGGCTTGTAAGGTGAGGGTTGCTCTCCACTTATATACTATTTAATTGCCTAATCTCTAGTCGATGTGGGACTTGGGTTTTTCCCAATACACCCCCTCACGTCCAGCACTATTGGGCTTGGTACGTGGATAAATGGTAGGTGGCCCTTTTTAATGATCTAGGATTGGCGGGACTTGAATACACCCCCCTCATGCCCATGGTGCATGTATCAATGAATAGTGGGTGGCCCATTTTTAAAGTGGATTTAAATGGCTCTGATACCATCTTAGAATAGTGGATTAAGCCTAACTCAACCCTACAAAACCGGCTTGTAAGGTGAGGGTTGCTCTCCACTTATATACTATTTAATTGCCTAATCTCTAGTCGATGTGGGACTTGGATTTTTTCCAATACAAACTTCAATTTGTGGAATGGAGTTTTGAGGAAGTTTATGATAAGGAGGATGCTGAATTTTTGAGTGGAAGAGTAAAAGAGACTTTTAACAAAATGTTTAATAGATATGGTTTTTTTCATGAAAATAGTGAAACTCAATCTACACAAACTCTTCGTAAGATGAAAACTTATAATACAACAATTGTCGATACTTCTTTTACAAAGGAATTTAAAAAGGACATCAATAAGGGTAAAGCTGTAAACAAAAATGAAGTGAATTTGTATCTCATGGATACATTAGAGAAGACAACTAAGACTTTTGATATCTTGAATTGGTGGAAAGTAAACTCTAGTAAGTATCACACTCTTGGACAAATAGCCAAGGATGTATTGGTTATATGTGCATTAACAATTGCATCAAAATATGAAATTTAGCATTGGAGGTAGAATTCGTAACACTTACATGATTTCCTTTACTCCAAAGACAATTTAGGCATTCATTTGTTCACATAATTGATTTCAATCTACTCCATTAACAATTGATTTTGAAGAACTTGTCAGAGAATTTGAAAAGTTAAAGCTAGGTAATTTATTTTAATACAATTACTATCAAATCTATTTATATTAATTCTAATTTTATCCATCATTAACAAGTTCCTATTTAAACTTTTTAGAGGTGAATCCAACTACACATCCTGTAGAAGAAGTTTTAGGTGATAAATCCGATTAAATGGAGGCAATTTTATCACTTGGTATATATTACCTTCATTTTTTATTTTAAAAATTGATATAGTGCATATGGTATATTGTTTTCAAGAATGGTTAATTAATTTTGCGGCTATAGTTAATTAAGGTGGAAGTCTCCAATCAAGTTAAAGTTTTATTCCAAATTGACACCTAACTGGGAAGAATGAAAAACTTCTTTGTTACGTATAATTGTTTAAGAAATTTTAAGATTATTTATTTATGGTAGTATCATTGGAAACTAGCGAATGCCTTCTTTATTTTGTTTGATTTTCTATATTGTTTCACAATATATTGACTATTGAGTATTTAGAAATCTATTGGTTTACTTTTTCTTTTTTTTTTAAATTAGTGATTTTATCATGTTATGAATATTGATAAATTATCTCAATTCATAATTTTGTATATTATGACTTATATTGTTATTATTAATTAATTAATGATATTAATAATTAGTTTGTCCCATAAAAATAATATAGTTTTTTTGTCCGTAAAAATATTATTAGTGTTTGAAAACCAAAAATCTATCCAATTCAAACCGAAATATATTTAAATTGAATTTAATTTTTTAAATTAAACCGATTAGATGATCAATAAATAAAATCGGTGAAATTGAGTTGCATGATTTTCTCCCTTGAAATTGATCCAATCCAATATGAAAATACCCCTAATATTGACTAATAAATATTTTTGCATGATATATTCATAATTTAACCTCATGTACTTTTTTTATTGGCATGTAAAAGTAAGAATAAAAAATCTCGCACAAACAAATAAGCAGTTGGAAAGTATAAAAAATATACCTATTAAGTATTTGAGACTGCAAAAGCCAAAATACATAACATTTCATTTTCATATCATTACAAAAAAGTTGCCGATAAATAAAGTAGCATTTACCCCATCATTAATTAGATCCACAAAATACATTTCCTTTAAATTGGGACAACAAATTACATTTATTTTATTACTGTTTTTTTTAACGAGAAGTATTATTAAAACCTTAAAATTTGTGAAAAACAGGTACTACTAAGGTTTGTCCTTAAAGCATTACAAATAAAATCAAAAAAAAAAAATACTTAAATCTTAGAAAATAAACTAAGATTATAAGTGGCTAACAAGTTAGTTGTTTGGTTAGTCTCTCTTAAGATGTGACACTATCTAACATTCCCATCATTCTGATGAATTTCATGGATAGTTTTTATCGTATCGGCACAAGAGTGAGTGTCTCAACAATTATAATAACTACATAATTTATTGCATTTGTCTATTTGTATATGTTAGATGTCAAGTCCATTGACATTATTAGGATCATCGTATTTAAAGTATTTTTTTCTTTGACACTCATTTGATTATTGTAATTTTTTTTTGAAAAGGTGCTTTTGTGGATTAAAGGAGGAGATTATTTATATATCTCTAAATAATTACATCAAACCTTCTAATATTCTGTTTCAAAATACGAAATATATCTACTTTACTCATTAACTAAAGGAGTAGAGATACTTTGTACCTCTAATAATTATATACAAACAACATATTATAAGAAGATTATATATAATTATTCAAAGAATTTTTTTTTATATTTAAAAGATATAATAATCTACTAAAAAATAGAGATGAAAAATGATACATATCTTCGTATCCTCTTTATTTATAACATGTATAGAGTTATAAATGTATAGATAATAGGTTAAAAACCTCTTTTCGTCCCCTTACATTATTTAATATTTTCAATTTAGTCCCACTTTAATTTTTTGTCTCAATTTGGTCCCCAATAATTTAAATCGTTTCAATTTGAGACTTCCGTCTAAATGATTTAGACGGAGTTAACTGGTGGCCACGTGGATGCCAGGTGGATGCCACGTAGATGCCACGTAGGTAGATCCAAAAATACTTGAATACACCTAGAACCAGAACGACCCGTTCTGAAATCAGAACGGCCCGTTCTGGTTACATTAATGGTGTGTAAAATTTTCACCTGGAACGGGCCGTTCTAGGTCCAAAATTAACACATCAACAGTGTAACCAGAACGGGCCGTTCTGGTCCAGAATTTCGTGCCACAAAAACCAAAATACAAAGCATTTTTTTAGGGAAAATACAAAGCATTTCAAACACTAGATTTAGTCATATTGTTAATGAGGATTAATAACTTCAATCGCTAAACATTTGGGCTATACAGTATATTATTAAGGATGATGCAGTGTATCACTAAGGACAATGGTAACAAGTTTTATTTCATTGTTAGTCAAACTGAAGTGAACCACTTACTACCAAATTGACACTATACAGTCAAGGATAAAACGAAACAGTGTTTTTCCTTAAAGTCATTGACGATGTACCTCAATAACAACCTGTTCTTGAGGAGGTACCCTTAAACCCTGAATTTGAGTTCATTTTTTTTTAGTTTTATTCATAAATGAATATTAATTTATTATATTTTTTATTTATTATATATTTATTAATATAGATATAATAAAAAAAGCATGACGTTCTAGAACGGACCGTTTTGAATTCAGAACGGCCTGTCCTAAAATCAGAACGGACCGTTCTAAAACAGAACGACCCGTTCTAATATCAGAACGACCTGTTCTGGTTTCAGAACGGGCCGTTCGGGTTTCAGAATGGGCCGTTCTGATTTCAGTTTTTTTAAAAAAATTTGGTGTCCACGTGCGAATCCATATGGCATCCACGTAGATGTCACGTGGCCAATAGTTAACTCTGTCTAAATCATTTAGACAGAAGTTTTAAATTGAAACGATATAAGTTATTGAGGACTAAATTGAGATAAAAAATTAAAATAAAATTAAATTAAAAATATTAAATAATGTAAGGGACGAAAAGAGATTTTTAACCTAGATAATAATGCGGCGTTAAACTAAAATTGGACGGAGACAACGAGTAATGCACTTTTGTCCGAAGGCACAAACAAACAAAATTCGTGCGCCACGTCACCCTGCACGGCCAACTTCAAAATGCAAACATATTAAACCCGTTTCGCTTTCAAACAACACGTCGATCCATACGTTCCCAAATTTTAATTTCAATTCCCGTCACCCGAAACGACGACACTTCACCTTCTTATTCATTACGTCGCACATGGCGGCACCGTCGTCGACGCCGTCGCTCCTGTCGCCGACGCAGAGGTACGCCGCCGGCGCATTGTTCGGCCTGGCGCTTCACGAGGCCCAACTCAACCAAACCAACCCGTTGCCGTTACCCCTTTCCGACGACGTCGCCGAGCAGCGAACCAGTACTAGCTCCAGCAGTGACTCCGTTTCCGACGACCCGGATCTTTGGGTCCACAGCAATTCGGGTCTGCTCCGCCCCGTTTTTAAGTACGTGTTATTGGTGTTAATTCCAATACGATATGATGAAACGAAATTCGGTTACTTTAGTTATTTTGGATATCTGAATCTGAATCCGAATCTGAACAGGTTTCTAGATATTGATTCCACAGCGTGGCTTGGACTAGAGGAAACCGCTGGTTCTTCTTCCGCTACGCATCATGTGGGGCCGGTGTGTATTACTAATTGTTCATCGCTCGTATATAAATTAAGCGTTGTTGGTTTCAGTGATTTGGTTATTCAAATATCAGCAATGTCATCCGATCACAAGTTGTTTCGTTACTTTAGGCTCTTTTGAATAAATTTCTCCCGAAGCACTTTTGGATGAAAAAATCAGGAAGAAAAAAAATGAAATGAAGTTCTTTGTAAGCCAATTTATGAAAGCTCTTTCATTTTAGCTTTTTCAAAAACTCATTTTTAACTTATGCATAAGACCTGTTTGGGTAAACTTCTTCGGAAGCAATTTTAGGAGAGTAAAATAGAAACAAAAAAATGAAATAAGTTTCTTCCTAAGTTAAAATTAGCTTATTATATGCATAAGCTAATTTGTAGAAACACTCTACTATTAACTTCTCCAAAATTGAAATTTTAATTTTAACTTATGTATAAGCTAGTTTTAGCTTATGGATTTTCCTTCCTATTTTTTTTCTCCTAGAAGTACTTCTAGAAAAGTTTATCTAAATAGGCCTATAAGTTAGTTTTAGTTATGAAGAGTTCAATTTTATTTCATTTTTTCCTTCTTATTCTTGTCTTCCAAGAGTGCTTGTGGAGAAATTTATCCGGACGGACCATTTTACTATAACTATCTTAACAGTCACACAAAAGATGATTTTTGATTAGTTGACATTGCAAAATTACACTTATAGTGTATAGAAATTAAGCTTTTCTGGTATATCACTAAATGAGAATAATGCACGTCAATGTTACAGTTCTTGAGGTTACTTTCACAAGAATTGGATGATGGTTCTTCTCAAAGGTCAGATCAAGAACTGGCTTTGTCAAGTGCGGTTGATGGTATAGCACTTGACATGCAGCGAAACTTGGAGTCTTACAAGGATAAAAGAGAGAAGCTTCGCGAATATGAGCATCAATGTCGAGAAAAGTTTTCAATTGATGATTTTCAGCCTCATTCTGAAAAGGTAGATGAACATTCGGAAGTTCAGACAGAGATGGATACTTCTCCTTTACTTGACTGTAAAGAGCCGCAACAGGGGTCTGCTAGTTTGGAAATTGATGAGAGACCGATTGAGGAAGTAACAATGCTTAGTGATCAGAGGAAGGTGACAGTTCTGTATGAACTTCTGTCTGGTTGTCTGTCAGATTTAGGTGAAGATATCGGGCGGAGAAGGAAGGGATATGATGCTCGACATCGTGTGGCTCTGCGGTTGCTGGCAACATGGCTTGATGTCAAGTGGATGAAAATGGTTTGTTTGATGAATCTTTTAGTATGAAACTATATGTCATTGACTGTTTGGTATACAATTTATCATATGATGGAGATCATGAGATATGATTACCATGGTTTCTGACTTACTGTGCTGGATTGTGGTGAACATTGCTTATTTCTTCGCCTTGATTTCTAAGCTACTTGCATTCAAGTTGAATATGATTGTAACTATTTTTATGTTATAAATTATGTTTTGTATTGTCAGTTATTAGAATATTCCATATTTATTGGTCTGGTATCTTCTAAGGACAAAGACAGATATTGGCTTTGTAGGAGGCCATCGAGACCATGGTTGCTTGTTCTGCAATGGCTTTTATTAAAGAGCAAGAATTAAAAAAAGAAGAAAATCAATCAAAAGAAAGCAAGTGGGCTAAATTGAAGCGTGGTGGTATCATTGGTGCTGCTGCAATAACTGGGGGAACTTTGTTAGCTATTACTGGTGGTATGGACCGCAGAGATCTTGTTATCTTTCCTAACTGTATCTTGGAATATAGAATTTCCGGAGGAATCAGTTGATTGATTTTGTTTTAACCATTCAACAGGGTTAGCTGCACCAGCCATTGCTGCAGGTCTTGGTGCTCTGGCTCCAACTTTGGGTACTCTTATCCCTGTAATTGGAGCAAGTGGATTTGCTGCTGTTGCTGGTGCTGCAGGAACTGTTGCTGGTTCTGTTGCTGTTGCTGCATCATTTGGAGGTTTATATTTGCCTATAATATGTGATTGGATTTACTAGAATTCGCTCATACTTGTTACTATAGATTCCTTCCCCACTTTTTAAGTTTAATGTGTAGTTTAAGCTTTAAGCTTATTGTTTGGATCACTAAGTTATTGTTGACATGCTCATGTGTCTTATAGTTTTTTATGTTCAATTTGAGGTTTAGTATGTGTCCTAATTCTTAAATATGATGATTTATATGTTTTGTACTGTTGGACTTGGACTAGTAGAAAGGTGTTGTATGATTAAATAGGTAATGATAGTGGTTGTATTTTTGTAGTTATTATCAATTTACTTGCTTACACTAACTGCTTGAATAAGATAACTTCCACTCAGACAGCAATACAAGCTATTTAATTCATCTTTTGATTGTTTTTAAGAGGATTTACAAAGCTTACATGAGAGTTTGTGTTTACTTTAGGAAGTTTCTAACTGTAGGAGTGATGCAGGCCGACTAATATTTTATATAATCCTGATTTGTGAAGACAGTACTTGCTGGTTCTTATCTGTTATTTATTGTGATAGAAGTGGCACCTATAGGAAAATTGTCTCCTTGATCTTGCAGTTATTTATACTTCTTAATATCATCTATGTTCCTTTTTAAACGATGAAAATTTTATGTCTCTTTGTTCTACTATCCAGCTGCTGGAGCTGGACTTACTGGAAGCAAAATGGCTAGGAGAGTTGGGGGTGTTGATGAGTTTGAATTCAAGGCTATTGGAGAAAACCATAACCAAGGCGTAGGCTTTTATATCTTTCATATTCCTTTTTTCTTGTGACATTGCTTGTTTAAATTGAGTTATGATCTATATTTCTGTGTGCGCATGTGTGAACTTTGTCTCACCTTTCTTGTTGTATCAATCTATACCTCTGCACTTGGTTATTGTTTCAAATTGGATTCTTGTTGAACTTCTGCTTGCAGAGGCTAGGGGTTGAGATCTTAGTCTCTGGATTTGTCTTTGAGAAGGAAGATTTTACAAGGCCATGGGAAGGACAGAATGACAACTTGGAGAGGTACAATAGTGAATATTTCCCTTCAATAATACAAGTATCATTGGTCAAGGAAAGTGGTTTCACCTTGGAACACAACACTTGAAGTTGATGCAACTTGTTGATAGAAAATTACCCTGTTCCATTGAAATCAGTTTGTATTTTAGTTCAGTTTTTCTTGATTTTACAAACTGTAATGTTATTATTCTTATAATTGATGGTGATGATCCCTGCAAACAAAAATGACCTTTTGTATGGCCTTGCCAAAAGTTAGGTATGCGCTGCAGTGGGAGTCCAAGAATCTGATTGCTGTGAGCACTGCAATTCAAGATTGGCTTACTTCAAGTAATTGATTTGGGCTTTAGGGTGCTAATAAAACTATTTTATTAGTATAAGAATAGTGCTATGATTGATGTTCGTATTGCTGTTACTTGCATCAGGGCTTGCAATGGAGCTGATGAAACGAGGAGCAATGATGACTGTTTTAAGCACACTATTAACGGCTCTGGCTTGGCCAGCTGCATTAATCGCAGCAACTGATTTTATAGACAGTAAATGGTCAATTGCTATTAACAGGTGTATTTTGTCTCCTGATTCTGTCTAGAATGGAACATTTGTAGTGGGGAAGAAGCTTCTGCTTGCTTTTGTTACTTAATATCATATATGCAATTTAAGGTGTTAAAATGGTTAGAATATCTGGAATTAGAATTCTTATTGTTTGAGAGTCATAATATGTTGATAGTGTTATTGGGCTAAAGTTGTACTACTATAATACGTGATCCTTGAGTGTTGATATAAATATGTGTATTTGGTGGACTTTTAAAACAGCACATCAGACATCTAATATCAGTGTTTAAATTTTCAGTACAAGCCTATGGAATTAGTTAATTACTCTGACTTAAATAAAAGAGTCCTGGAATATGACAACTGCATGGGAATAATTTGAATTAATTTCATTTTCTGAGGGGATTCTCTTGTCATAAACTATTAATCTACTTTAGAATCTTAAATTGTCAATTTTTTAAAGAAAATCTGAGCTGTTCATGAATTTAAAAGGGATCAATATCCAAATCCAGCCCCTCTATATTGAATATTGACCATATTATTATCATTGTTTTCTATTTCTATGGGATTAGAGTTTGCCTCACATTTTTCACCACTAAGGATCCTAAAATTTATTATTTGAAGATTGCACTGTTGTTTGATCATCACAAACAAATTTAGTTTGATTCAGTTTTAATATTGGTAATTGTAAAAATTATTTGCTGAAGTATTAATTTAATTGATCTTGATACTCGTGTATTAGTATACAAAGCTGAAAGCTGATGTCAATGTGGTTTTGTAATTGCCATGCCAAGGATTATCTACTTGTTTTTTTTCCCTTGATGAAAGGTGTTTCTAATGTGATGGCTTCACCATCTCAATGAAAAGTTTGTTATGAGCAGTTTCCTTTCTTTGTTTACACTTAAATCTACTTGCTGAGTTAATCTTGATTTTCAGGTCAAACAAAGCTGGTAAGTTGCTTGCTGAAGTATTGTTAAGAGGATTACAGGGAAATAGGTATTTGACTAATTCCAGAGTTTCTTTCACGCCATCTTCAAGAAAATTGATGATGTATTATTATTGATCTCTGAATTTCAGGCCTGTGACACTTATAGGTTACTCCCTTGGAGCAAGAGTTATTTTCAAGTGCCTACAGTGTTTGGCTAAAACTGAAAACACTGGTAGGTGCTTCCAGTTTCCTCTCTTTTCCTTTTTGCGTCCTTGATGTGTTTCAATATTTTGACTCCGTATTAAATGATTAAATCGTATCCTTTTTTGTTTTTTCTGTTCTTTTTATGTTTTTAACTCTCATGATGGATGCATATAATTTCATTTCCTTGGGTACTCTTTCCTTGTTTATCCATTAAATAAATGAAGTTAGTTACCTTATCACTTTTAATGTTTGTCCTGCTTATTGGCAGCTGAACTAGTAGAAAGAGTAGTACTTCTTGGAGCACCCATCCCAATACAGGACGAGAACTGGGAAGCAGCAAGAAAGGTTTGCGGGGAATTTAGAATTTAATTTTTGTCTTAGTTGGAGTTTCTCATCAGTTTCCTGGCATTCTGTAGATGGTAGCAGGAAGATTTATAAATGCTTATTCAAGGAATGACTGGATGCTTGGAGTTGCCTTCCGTGCCAGGTACATGATAACATAATGGCAAAATTTCTGCCAAGTTGTAGGTATTTCAAGTTGGCTCGCAGATTAACTTGATAAAAGAAACAAATAGCATGAAGTTGTATGCATGAAGGTTCACACTAAAGAAGTCTATGGACTATATTTTTGGTTTGTATTTTCATACATGAAGTGGAAGTTGTTAGTATGGGCAGAGAACAGCGTTTCTTGTGTTCATTGACATTTCTTTCGTGTGTGGTAGTTGGCATGTGTCTCACCTAACATTACTATATGATCATGTGGGGTCTGCATGTTCTTTTGTTAGAGGGAAGGATATTAAGGGTTAAGATCTTGCATATTTCTATTTCTTACAGTATAATGTATGTTTAGGTAACCAGTGTGTAGAGTTCTTATTATTTGGCATTTTTTTTTAAGTAAAATGTAAAACGATTTAATGTAATTTTAAATAAATTAATTTTATTATAGATAAAGTAAAATTATTATTTAGTATTATTATTATTATTATTATTATTATAAATTTTGAGCAGTCTACTTACGAAAGGACTAGCTGGAATCCAACCAGTCGATGTTCCTGGGATCCAAAATGTAAGATGTTTCTTCATCCTGTTTGCTAATCGTATAACTATAAATTACTAACATTTATGTTTAATAAAATGAGTGTTTGTTTTTGCATTGCAGGTCGATGTGACAGAACACATTGAAGGCCATTCGTCATATCTGTGGGCAACACCAAACATCTTAGACCAACTTCAATTGGATACATATTATCCTGTGTATAACAGCGTTTATTGTGTACAGTGAACCTTTGATGAAGGCGCGTTCTTTCTCTCTTTACATTTCTTCTGTCAGCTGTTGGAAGCCATTGCCGGACCTCAGTTGCTCTCAAGTTTGACACTACTCAGAAATTATACATGAAACTAAGAATTTATTTATTTTTGGTTTCAAATGTAAAATAATAATAATAAAAAAAATCTACATACGTTGTTTTTATTTTAATATATTTATTAGAGTTTAATAGACATGAACCAATTGGATATATTTTTTTATACTATAATCATCTATATGATTTATAATATTGTTATTATAAAAGTCAATAAATTTATCATAAATATTAGTTTGTGATTAAATAATTATATAATTTTTTTATATATATTATTTATGTTTAAATATATTTTAGTCCTTTAAATTTAAGATAAATTTATATTTGGCTCTCAAATTTAAAAGTGTTTTATTAGTTTTGTAATTTTTAAAAAATTTTATTTTAATCCATTAGGTCACTAATAACATATTTAGAAGTAATATATTAAGATAATTATATAATATTAATTAAGTTTAATGTGATATTTTTACTAATAAATATATTAGTCAATATTTGTGTAATAATATTTAACAAATTTTTTAATAAAATTTGAGTATAAAGACTAAAATAAATTTTTTAAAAATTATATAAATTAAAAAGATCAATTTTAAATTTGAGAAATTAAAAATATATTTAAGTTAATTATTTATTTTATTTACTAACTCTTTGATGTAGGGTTTTTATTATTTATTTTTATTCAAAACCACATTTGTGTCTAATTAAAATTCATTAAAATGTAGCCAATATTTTTATGTTATTGTTTTTTTTATATATAATAATCAGGACAAAAGATTTTACTGATTAATTAAAATCAAGAGGAAAATGATATATGAGCGTAAATGATTTTTGCATTATTATTTAATTAAAAATTGATATGTATGGTAAATTAAAGTTTGTTAATTTGAACAAATAATCACCTACACGAAAGGTTTTGATAAAATTGTATTAAAACTGATGTTTAATTAATTAACAGTATAATATTCATGAAACTCTGAAGTTTGTTGGTTGATAAATCTATACTAATATATAAAGGGGATCTGTTAGAACTTTATTCGAGTCAAGTTCCGAAACTCCACGAGAGGCAATCTCTCAAATTAATTCCAATGTTTTTCTTCTTTTGAAAGCTGTATAATAGACTTATTTATAGAGACACTAACTAACAGAATCCTAATCTGGTGTCTTTAGGATAAACTAATAATGATATATTAAAATAAATAAACTAAACTAAAGATAAGATAATGTAGTCAACTAGAGAAATTCTATCATCTGTTAAATGATATAATCGGTTGCCCAGGAAGGTGCACTTTTAATCCTTGGTTCTGTTGCTTTATCTTCGGGAGTTGTAACATTACCCCTCTCATGGAAAAGGACCTTGTCCTCAAGGGCCGCTTTGGTATAGAGGTTGACTAGATGATCCCATGACTCCCAAGTGGCTTCTTCGCGTGGCTTGTCAACCCACTCGACCAAAACTTGGTATTGATTTCCCTCTGGAGTTGGTACCGTGCGTTCAGAAGTGATGGCCTGCGGTGTAGGTAACTGGTGTTTCGGAAGCTCATCGCACATGATGGAAGTAGGAGGAGTTGGACCTGAGTAAGCCTTCAGTAATGAAATATGGAAAACTGGATGAATGCGACTATTAGATGGCAAATTTAGTCGGTATGCTACCTTGCCAATACGTTCCAAGATCTGAAAAGGGCCAAAATACCGCTTAGAAAGCTTAAAGTTGAGTCTACGAGCAACAGATTGTTGGCGGTATGCGTGAAATTTTACCCACACCCATTGGTCAACTTCAAAATTCTTGTCAAGTCGTTTAGAATCGGCATATTTTTTCATTCGAGCTTGTGCTTTAGTCAAATTAGCAAATTAATTGATTGCAATGTCGAACTTCCGTCCAAATTATTTAAACAAAGTTAATTGTTGGCCACGTGGATGCCACGTAGATGCATAGGTGGATGCCACGTGGACACTAAATTTTTTGAAAACACCTGGAACCAAAACGGCCCGTTCTGAAACCAGAACGGGCCGTTCTAGGTGCACTCTTGATGTGTTAATT